ATTCAATTTCTCGATCTAGAGGAAGACCGGGTAATTCTTCTAGAAACACGTCCAAAAACTCATTCACGATCGACATCTCTTCAACTTTGCGGATTTCTATTGTAGTGTCCTTTACCAGTGCTAAATACCCTTGACAAGCTTTTCCCAACATCCTTCTAGCACTTATAGCAGAAATCAAATTGTAAGGAGCTATATTCTTATCCACCCTATAAATAAGCTTCTTACCATCTAGTATATTAAAAACAATTTCTTTCCCTTTACAGTGAACCTCTGCATCATATGTTGATAACCAGTCCATGCCCAGAATAACATCAAAGTCTATCACATCCAAAATAATTAAATTCGCAGGTAAGTCTACGCCTTCAAGAGCAATAGGGTAGTTTAAAATGACTATATTAGTGTACTTAAAGGCGTAGATATCAGCAAGGGTAAATCTAACTGATCAGGCATTCTGTCTATTTTCATAGCAAACCTAGGAGATGCAAATGAATGGGTAGCACTAGGGTCAAATAATACTCATGCTCCAAAAGAACAAATAATAAGAATACCCGCCACCACAGCATTAGATGCCTGCACATCTCCCTGAGTCAAGTGAAAGAGTCGAGGTTGTGCTCCTGCAGCATGCGAATTTTGTCCAAAACTCTGGCCTCTGCCCTTACTAAGAGAACCACAGCCCTGCTGGCCTACAAATCTGGTATCTGATGTAGACGATGTGGAAAAATGAGGTCTTGACACACTACCCATAGAAGACTGGGGTGGCACATATCGTGACTGAGGAAGTGGGCAGTCTCTAGCAAAATGTCCCGTCTGATGGCACCTAAAGCAGGTGTTAGCATCAAAGTTGCATCCTCCTTTATGAGTCTTGCCACACTTGTGACAAACAGTTACACTCGATCTGCTGCTGCCTGTATTGTGCCCACTACTGGGATCACCTGTATAAGTACTCTTTCTCGGCCACAGTTTCTTTTTATCCTTCCTTCTACCAGTACTTCCCTTTCCTTGGAATTGAGAACTTGAAGACTGTGTGCCCATAATAAATGATCCACTCATTCCTGGCACACCCAGATTCCCAAGGGGAGTTACTATTCTGCTAGCTCTTCTGCCTGGAATAACCCCGTCAGAAATGTATTTGGTTTCCATTAGTCTAGCTGAGTCTACTACGGCATTAAAGTCCTGTTCCCTTTGCTGAAATAGAGTGGCATATACTGCATTCAACCTGCTAATAAATCTGTATATTTTTGTGCATTCGTCAGGTATGGATCCCGGAGCATATCTACTTAACTCTATGAACCTTGTGGCGTACTCATCCACTGACATATCTCCCTGAACTAAGGATTCAAATTCCCTCATTCTGGCTCTTCTAGTTCTTTCCGGCACAAAACGATTCATAAACAAAGTAGAAAACTGTTGCCAGGACATCCCAGTGGAAGAAGGCTGAACATAATCCCAAAACCATGTTTTTGCTATTCCTTCCATTCTACGGCCCGTAAACACAATGGACCTCTCATCATTACATCCTAGCTCAATACAAAATTCTCTAATTCTAGCCAAAAACAGATGAGCGTCCTCAATCCCAGTAAATTTAGGCGGCTTATACTGGATGAATTTGTCATAAAGTGTATCATTAGCAGCTCTCTGAACAATGGGGAGTGAAGCCGGCTGGAATGGCTGTGCTACCGGTTCAGGTATAGGAGGTGGCATCTGTGTAGGATTATTCACACCAGAAGTACCTTCTCCCGATGGGACCCTTACCCTTCTTAGTGACTGACTAGAATCTGTTTCTTCTCTTAATGGGGGCTTGATTAGTGTCGGAAAACCCGAAGTAAGTGTTAAAAAGAGTTTTATCATTTTTAATTTTATTTATTTATTATATTTAATTTAAGAGTTTTATCATTTTTAATTTTATTTATATTTAATTTTATTTATTTTTTATATTTTTTTATTTGTGAAGGCATAAATAATAAATACTAATTGCGAATGCCAACGTTAGACTAGCCATCCACATAGCAATGTTTAACGAAGATCTCTCGCACGGAATATCATCACTGATAAGTTCTTTTATTTTTTATTTTTATTTTTATATAGGTATCGTCATAGGCATCGTCACTCCTAACTTCAAAAAGAGGATTGTGATATACATTATCCCACACTGGTAATTCACCTAGTGAAAGATAATCCCACCATACACTTTAGACTAGGTTTCTAGGTTTGGCCCATAACCAATACATGCAAACACAACAAAATAAAACCAAACAAAGACCACAACTTACAAAGTTAAACTAACAACCATATTAAGTTAACAAAAGACATAGAACTTAAATTAAACATAACGAATAAGAAAACCAAAACAAAGACTTAGCATAGGAGTCCATCTCCAGTAAGGATAGGAGTAAGATCTCCCACCAAACAAAGACAAAGAAGCCTAAAACACAGTAACTTTTGTGTCTACAGACATTATTTAAATCAAACTAGAAAAGAGTTCTCAGGCACTCTTCTATTCTCCACGGTCGCCGAGGCCGGCCGGCCCTTCACAATGAGCGCATCCTCTCCCCTCCTCGAGGGCCTTAACCCTCCTGTCTTCGATATTGCGCATGCGGGCTTCGAATCGCATTCATACGGTTTGTGGCAATCTCGGCGGGTGTGCTATTGAGTTTGAGGGCAGTTGGGAGAAGTACATTCGACTTGTAGAATTTGCCTACAATAACAGTTATCAGTCGAGCATTCAGATGGCCCCTTTTAAAGCACTATATGGCAGGAGATGTAGGACTCCACTCTGTTGGTCAGAATTGAGTGAGGGCAAGAGTATAGGTCTAGATTTGATTCGAGACACAGACGTTGGAAGCTCTAAGCAAAAATAAAAGTCCTTCGTTTTTCGCGGGTATCGCCACGTGGCTTAATCCCGATCACTACTTCAGGAATAGGACACAATAATATAGCGCACATCAGAGATCAAAGAGAAGAGAGGACCCCCCTTTATAATAAGGACCATGAGGCCCCCTGCCGTCCTTTCTTAATAGTTCTTAAATAGATGGAAGCGAAATCGTCCACTGTCGACAGCTCGAAGCCGAATCAGTAAACCCCAAGTGATTCGTATTCGCCTTTACGTACCACGCGTGCTTCGTCCGTACACTTCCTAGTCCTATTTCCTGGCTTATTTTGTACCCTGCTACATGATTGGCACCTTTCCCCTCGGCCAATCGTCACTCGACAGCCCAGTCCTTTGATTAAACTTGATTGACTTGATTGATCTGATCAGACGCTTGCTTTTTTCCAAGCATAGGTACGTTACAGCTCTCCGTAAGTTCACACTAGTCAGTACAGCCTTTTTTGAATTTAAGTTTAATGAAGAAGTTTAATAAAGAAGAAAAGTGACAAAAAACTTGGCGAAAGCTCTATGGGCCGAGCTAATATGGGCTAGGCCTTTTGATGGCTTGGCTATTTTTTTTTTTTTATTTCAGATGCCTTTCATGTATATGATATATCCTTATTCAAATTATAATTATTAATTAATTTTTTTTAATAATTTAATTTTAATTAAATTATAATTAAATTATAGGCCCATTATTGAGATATGCTAAATCAGTGGCTCAATAACCGTTTTAAGATGATAAGTAGTCAAAAAAAGGATCACATGAGAATTGGATTGGTTCTTTGAATTCAAGGTGTCTTAACACAAAGCCTCGTGACAGAACGAAAAATCTATTTTTTTTGTTGCCAATTGCATTGGATTTTGTTAAACTTATTACTAAACAAATGCATCTTTATAGATCTTTGTAGGTCTTGCATATTGCTCGCTAGACTCCAATTATGCGCAATTTTTCGAGAGAAGACTTTCCTCTGTTAGATAAGTATAGCAGATAACAGCAATGTTTTTTCTCATATCTAAAAGTTCCAAATGCAAATTAATTAATCAAAGGAAACAATAATCATACAACTCAATGATCTAAAATCATCTGGACTTTATATGTACTATGTTCCAGTTAATTCTGGATCCTATGGGTCAAATATTGGAGCATCATCAATATTGGGTCGATCTCGCAACACATTCAGTATTTTCTCTGTATCATTTGGCAAAAACAGGCCCTAATCTCACCCTTGGTTTCTGGCTGGCAACGTGATGGTAGTGGTGCTTCTCCCTTAAGAATCCTAGCTGCATCTCTTACTCTTGGCCTCTTTCTCATAGTCTGGGGTGCAAACACAAAGAAGCCCCAGCATGAGCATCCTCCCCATTCTTCTAGTGCAATCAAACTTCCCCATCAACCTTGGATCAGCAGCCTCAAATTAGTTTCTTCTTTTCCCACAAGTTTCCACACATAATAACAACCACAGTTCTGTCAATCTTCAAAAGGCTTCCTCCCACCCACTTCTAACACCACTACCCCAAAGCTGTACACATCAGTCTTCACAGTTGGAACACCAGAATAAAAATATTCCGGACCAAAATCCCCGCATGGAAATCTGCATCAAGCATTATATTGCAGGTCTTCACATCTCTGTGAATGATTTGTCTCTTGCATTCTTCGTGACGATACGTAAGAGCAGAAGCAACCCCTCCCCCCCCCCAAATTTTCTCCAATTTTCTTTTATATTCAAAAACTGCTTCCATGACAGGACAACTGCAGAATTTAAGCTAAAATGCATCATTTTTTTGAGGCTCCCATTGATTGGGTAGGAACTAAAAACCAGAACTAACTCAGGTCCCTCCCAGCAATTGAAGCTGACCAAGTTCTTGTGCTTAAGCAAGCCCACATTGGTTTGCAAACTCAGTGTGAAAGGATTGCCCCTAAAATAATTAAACAAGGTGGCGACTCACACATTCACATGCATTTCTGCCCTTAGTCATATTCATTATATGCTTATTTTTGGGGGAGGGGTTCACACCGCTGCAAATAGAATTCTGAGTTTTTGTTTTAACAGTCAAATTTTTGTTTTTAGAAAACTCAATTCACCCCCCCCCCTCTTGGGTTGTGCCATACATATACGGGAACCACATTTGGAATTTGACTCAGATATCTGTGAATTTAGCATTCTAAGCACCTTTTCACAAAAGAAATACAATCTCCTTCCATTGTCGATTAAAAGAATCCTTGTCTGAGAATTTTCTTAGCTAATGCTTTTCCGTTTATGTGGGTACCACAAACCCCTGCATGGATCTATTCCATAATCTCTTCAACTTCTTCCCTTCATACACATCTTAACAATACACCATCTGACATTCTCTTGTACAACTGACTGTCTAAGACTGCAAATTATAATGCAAACGTTGTATAGCTCTTCTGTCATCTCTAGTAGCTGAATCAAGATAAACCCTTTTAGTCATCCAGTGCAGGACATCATAAAACCATGGCGGATCTTCTTCCTCGATAAAATCTTATAAGAAACAAATACAAGAATAAAATACAACTACAAAAACACCAAAGACATAAAAATGAAAGCTTTATCTTCTATATATTTTATTTGAAATCGAAATAAAAAATAGAATAAAAAATAAAAAATAGGACAAGAGTAATAGAATACTCAATCAGAAACCAGCCCATAAAATATATTTTTTTAATTTTTATTCAAGTAAAGAAAAAAACTTTTTTTTTTATGTTTATGTAATCATGTAAAATCAAAATATCAAGAATATAAATCAAAATATCAAAAAAAATATAATATATAATATCTATATATATATTATATTATATATATACTAAAAAAATATAAAAAAAAGGTAAAGAAAAGAAAGACCACTAAATCGAAATAAAGGAGCAATACCAACACTCTTGCTAGAACAAGAAAGTGGTTATATTTCTGGCTTTCCTTCCTTCCAAAATTCCTATATGTTTAGTAGAAAAACCTTATCCATTAAGAGATGGAACTTCAAGAGCAGCTAGATCTAGAGGGAAGTTGTGAGCATTACGTTCGTGCATTACTTCCATACCAAGATTAGCACGGTTGATGATATCAGCCCAAGTATTAATAACGCGACCTTGACTATCAACTACGGATTGGTTGAAATTGAATCCATTTAGGTTAAATGCCATAGTACTAATACCTAAAGCAGTGAACCAGATCCCTACGACAGGCCAAGCAGCCAAGAAGAAGTGTAAAGAACGAGAGTTGTTGAAACTAGCATATTGGAAGATTAATCGACCAAAATAACCATGAGCAGCCACAATGTTATAAGTCTCTTCTTCTTGACCAAATTTGTAACCTTCATTAGCAGACTCATTTTCAGTGGTTTCCCAAACTAGAGGTTACCAAGGAACCATGCATAGCACTGAATAGGGAGCCGCCGAATACACCAGCTACGCCTAGCATGTGAAATGGGTGCATAAGAATGTTGTGCTCAGCCTGGAATACAATCATGAAATTGAAAGTACCAGAAATTCCTAGAGGCATACCATCAGAAAAGCTTCCTTGACCAATTGGGTAGATCAAGAAAACAGCAGTCGCAGCTGCAACAGGAGCTGAATATGCAACAGCAATCCAAGGTCGCATACCCAGACGGAAACTAAGTTCCCACTCACGACCCATGTAACAAGCTACACCAAGTAAGAAGTGTAGAACAATTAGTTCATAAGGACCACCATTGTATAACCATTCATCAACGGATGCTGCTTCCCATATTGGGTAAAAATGCAAACCTATAGCTGCAGAAGTAGGAATAATGGCACCTGAAATAATATTGTTTCCATAAAGTAGAGATCCAGAAACAGGTTCACGAATACCATCAATATCTACTGGAGGAGCAGCAATGAAGGCGATAATAAATACAGAGCAATATCAGCATGACAGGATATAAGTTCAACCAGATTGTAGCGTCTCGGCTCGGTTCATTCGGGTTAACGGGTGGACCGGGAAGG